AAATGAGTGAGATCATGTGACACTTGTCTTTCTCTGACTGGCTTATTTCGCTTAGCATAATGCTCTCCAGGTCCATCCATGCTGTTGCAAATGGTAAGAATGCTTTCTTTTTTATAGCGGTATAGTATTCCACTGTGTAGATGTACAACAGTTTTCTATTCCACTCATCTGCTGATGGGCACTTAGGCTGTTTCCAGATCTTAGCTATAGTGAATTGTGCTGCTGTGAACATAGGGATGCATATATTCTTTCTGATAGGTGTTTCAGAAAATTCACCTAAAAATTTTTTTTATTGTGGTAAAATACAAAAAACCGTACTGCTTTAACCATTTAAAGTGTACAAATCAGGAGCATTTATATATTGCCTAAGTTGTGCAACCATCAGCTTTATGCCTATTAAACAGTCCCCTTTCCCTGCAATGGCTAATCTGCTTTCTGTCTCTAATGGATTTGTCCGTTCTGTACACAGGCAATTATCCATATGTCTACAGACATTTCATATAAATGGAATCATATAAGATGTGCCCTTTTGTGACTTACTTCTTTCACTTAGCATGTTTTCAAGATTCATCCATGCCGCACCAAAGGGGAAACATGCCCGGTCAAGGGTATGTACCTAGATTGCAGGTTCGGCCTTGCCCCTGTTCAGGGTGCATGCAGGAGGCAACCAGTCAATGTGTCTCTCTCCATTTGTAGGCCTGAGAAACTAAAGAAACACGTTACCTGCTCCTAAAATACAACAGGACAGGTATAGGATAATAGTTACAGATATTCTGGTTCAAAAAGGGAGAAAATGGAAGGAAAAAAGGAGTCACTAATCCCAATCAATTTGGAAATCCAGCCGGGCAAACTCCTATTTCAGACTCAAGAATAATCCTCTGTGGTCTGAGGCTCTGTGCTCTTGGCTCCACTTTCTGAGCAACCCTTTTCTAAAGAAAGGTAGCATATGCTTGCAGCTGAGCAGTTTTTAATCAGCCTGTTTCCTGCTTGTCGGACTTTGGGCGGCCGACAGACTTCTTTAATTTCATACTCCCTGTCTCTTCCCATCCAAGCTGGCAGTGTTTCTGCTGATGTCAAATTCTCAAGAACCTTGTGGGTCTTCCATTGATGTCACAGGGACTCATTCCATTAGGCATGCAGCGCATTTATAGGTATTTCCTAGATAACCCCACCTCTATTTTTGACTTCTGCTGAGATGGCTGAGGGGTAATGCCCTAGTTTCCTAAGGCTGCTGGGTTAGATTGTGAGGATCTGTGTTTGTATGACAATACTCTCGACATTCTGAACATATCCTTGTTTGTTTCTCTAGGACATGCTTTTCCTGACAGGGAGCCTATCCATTTTAGGGTCTTTTCTCATCTGGATGGGATGAGAATTGCAGAAACAATGACATCCTGTTTCTTTTTGTTAGTAACTCTTCCCTCAATTTATCTCTTCCCACTTGCATTTTCCTCTCTTCAACACTATGCAGGACACACATTAGCTAAGTTTTCTGCCATTATATAGTAAGAATTCCCTTTCCTCCAGTATTTTTTTTTTTTTGGTTTATAGCTTTAATATAGAAAGCTCTTAAATATTCTGAACTCTATGTATGGCATATTGAAAATAGTCCTTTATCAGTTTGTCATTTTATTTTATTATTTATTTTCTTTATTGATTAAGGTATTACATATGTGTCCTTATCCTCCTATTTCCTCCTTACCCCCCCCTCCCCCCAACTCATGCCCTCACCCCCCTGGTGTCTGTCCCCATTGGTTAGGCTTATATGCATGCACACAAGTTGTCATTTTTCTTTTAACTTTTAATAGTGTTTTCAATTTTGTAAATTAAATATAAATACACCATATTTTTCAGTATTTGGTATTTGTGTCATTTTACAAAGTCCTAGCCCATACCAAATTTATATGAAATACTTGCCTATATTTTCTTCTAGTACATTTATGGTTTCCCTATTTTTAAATATAAAGTTTCTAAACTATGCAGACTGAGGGAGGGATTAATTTTTTAAAAACAAATAGTTTTTCCTCTTTGCTGCATCTACTGTGAGGATGAAGACCATTCTCAGCAATCAGACTGTGGACAGCCCAGAAAATGTGGACATCACTCTGAAGGGACGCACAGTGACTGTGAAGGACCCCGGAGACGCCCTGCGGAGGGACTTCAACCACATCCATGTAGAGCTCTGTCTCCTTGGAAAGAAAAAGAAGAGGCTCGGGGTGACAAGCGGTGGGGAAGTGGAAAGGAACTGGCCACAGTTCGCACTATCTGCCGTCACGCACAGAACATGACCAAGGTGTTACCCTGGGCTTCCGTTACAAGATGAGGTCTGTGTGCGCTCACTTCCCCACCGACGTCGTTATTCAGGACAATGGCTTCCTTGTTGAAATTAGAAATTTCTTGGGTGGAAATACATGTGCGGAGTTCGGATGAGGTTAGGCAGTGCTTGTTGAGTATCTCAAGCCCAGAAAGATTTCCAGTTGCCACTCGAATATTTCCTGGTTCAATTCCTGAAGGCCTTCCTGTCAACCCAATTCCACCCCGTGAAACAGGGCGAGCTGCTGCTGAAGGTTTGTGATTACTGGCCATTGTTTGTTCACTTTAACGACTGTGCGCAGAAGGAGGGAGGTCGCCAGGCTCGGGGAAGTCACCACCCGGAGTACCAGTCAGCCCCACAAATGTGACCACTCACCCACCCTGGTGCAGCTTTCCCGGGCCCCCTTTTCCTCCAGTTTTCAATCACAGGTTCCCATTTCCTTCGGAGTCCTCACCAGCAGCGACTTTAGTGTCCATATTTCTACTAACAGTCTGTTGATGGTGATCTAAGTATTCTCTAAGGCAATTTAGGTTTTGCCCAGAATGTTCCTCACTTCCTTCTGCGCCTCCAATTGGGGAGTTTCTAATGTCCATATTTCTAGTAAAGGTCTGTTCAAGACAATCTAAGTTTTTTTGCTATAATAATTCTCGAAATTCTTCCAGGTTCTACCCATTGCCCAATTCCAAATCCACGTGCACATTTTTAGGTAACTGCTACAGCAGGGTTCCACTTCTGGTACCAAAATCTATGTTAGTTTCCTACTGCTGCTGTCACAAGTCATCACAAATTTATTAGCTTATTAAATAATACACATGGCCCTGACCAGTTGGCTCAGTGGCTAGAGCGTTGGCCTATGGACTGAAGAGTCCCAAGTTTGATTCTGGTCAAGGGCATGTACCTTGGTTGCAGGCACATCCCCAGTAGGAGGTGTGCAGGAGGCAGCTGATGGATGTTTCTAACTCTCTATCCCTCTCCCTTCCTCTCTGTAAAAAAATCAATAAAATATATTAAAAAAAATAACACACATGTACGATTTTATAGTTCTGTGGATCTGAAGTCCAGCACGGGTCTTATCAGTCCAAAATCAAGTAGCTGGCAGGCTGCATGACCTATTGGAGGCTCTAGGAGAGAATCTGCTTGCTGCTCATTTGGGCTGTCAGCAGAATTCAGTTCTTTGAAGCTGGAGGGCCAAAGTCCCTGTTTTCTTGGTGGCTGGAAATAGAAGGTCGTTCCCTGCTTCTAGTTGCATTCCTTGTTCATGGCCTTCTTTCTCCATCTTCAAAGCAGCAACGAGAGGCTGAGTCCTCATGTCTCTCTGATTCTGTCCATCACTGCATCTCCAACTGACCAGAGAAAGACACTCTCTCTGCTTTTAAGGGTCATGGGAGTAGACTGTTTACCTGCAGATCCAGAATAACTCCCCTTCTCAAAGGCCATAACCTTCATCACACCTGCAAAGTCCCTTTCGCCTTGTGAGGTAGCATATTCCGTTCACGGGTTCTGGAGATTAGGGCATGGACATGTTGGGGCCATTATTCTGCCCACCAAATCTGAGGTAAAGAGCAGCCAGGAAGCCATCTGCCTAGATTTCAAATTTCCTCTATGCACTTACTACCTGGGGAACCACGGTAAGTTACGTGGGGCTCTCTGTGTCTCAGCTGTGTCATTTGTAAAACGAGAGTAATAGTACCGACCTGGGATGCAGATTTGGAGGCTTTTAACTACTAGTAAAGTAACAAAACCTGTTCCTTACCCTTCAAACTTAATCTGGACATAAAACCACCCAGCTAGAGATTACATATGGTGTCTGCCTGGGAGCAGGCCATGGCCAAGTGACTCATTCTAGACCAACAGGTATGAGCAAAAGGGATACATACTAGTATACTTTCTGGATCACTTACAAATCAAAGAAAAGCTGCCTGCATGGCAACTTGTCTCTCTCCCCCCTCACCTACAGACTGGAGTGTAAATGTGGCTGCAATCAAGTCCCAACCTTAGGTAATGGTGAAGCAATGAGATAAAGGAACCAGTGTCTCTGAATGATCTCATGGGACAACTCTGCCCCACCATCTGGCAAGGCTGAACTACTCTATGAAAGAAATAGACTTTAGTGTTTGTTAAGTCAATGTATTTAATAAATTAATATTTGTAAAGCGTTCAGCCACATAAGGAGTGCTACACCGCAATGACTTATTACTGACTGCATTAATATGCATTCTACTCAATGTCACAGGCCACCAATGACAGATAAAAGCAACAGCCCTGGCCGGTTTTGCTTGGTGGATAGAGCATTGGCCTGTGGACTGAAGGATCCTGGGTTCAGTTTCACTCAAGGGCGTGTACCTTGCTTGCAGGCATGACCCCTGGTCCTGGTCAGGGCACATGCAGGAAGCAACCAATTGATGTGTTTCTCTCACTGTCGATGTTTCTCTCTCTCTGTCTCTCCCCTCCCTTCCACTCTCTAAAAATCAATGGAAAAATATCCTCAGCTGAGAAGTAACAAAACAACAATTAAAAAGCAACATCAGTACCATCTAACCTAATTAAAATATGTTATTGTTTATTTATTTAGATACTAAGGAACCAACATATACTGAATTCATATATGCCAGGCATTTACTATGTTACATCTGACCCTGGGAATAGCTCTATGAGGCTGCAGAGATGAGGACATGGAGGCTCAGAGGTTAGGTCACTTTCTCGAGATCACTCTAGCCCAGGGGTGGGCAAACTTTTTGACTCGAGGGCCACAATGGGTTCTTAAACTGGACCGGAGGGCTGGAACAAAAGCGTGGATGGAGTGCTTGTGTGAACTAATATAAATTCAAAGTAAACATCATTACATAAAAGGGTACGGTCTTTTTTTTTTTTTTTTTAAGTTTTATTCATTTCAAACGGGCCAGATCTGGCCCGCGGGCCAGTTTGCCCACGGCGGCTCTAGACTGAGGTAGCTTGACACCTTGTTCTCTCCACAATGCGCACTGCCCCTCTGCCAAAAAGACAGGTTAACGTGTAAGTGTTGCGAATCAGTCAACAAACCCCTCTGAATTATGCTACTCACATAGATGTCCGGTACTTGATGTCATCTTTTTCAGCCAGCTCTTCACAGGTGAGGCCATTGTGCTCTTTCCAGAGTCCCTGACACTTCCTACAGGTTTCCTGCAGATAAAGCAGACACACAGACAGCTCCTGGTGAGCAGGCGCCATGCAAGTTCTGCTCCACAACGGGGAGTGGGAACGAAGCTTCGCTTGGCCTGCAGTCTCCCAGAGGCTCTCTCTCCTCTCAGCAGGCACCTTTCTGCAGACATCTCAGTGGAAGAGGGAGGATCGTTAGAAGAAAGCATGAGACAGTTTTCTCTCCTTAAAGCAAAGGGATGCATTGCTTCCAACACCAATTTGTATAAGGCTTTCTAAAGTGCCAGGAGCCACCTGGAAACCCCCACAGAAGACAGATTTAGACTTGGGGTTTTAAAAAATAAAACACTGTGAGCTGCTTGAGGGCAGGGTCTGTGGGGGTCTTACTAATTTCTGCAACCCCTACTACACCCAGTGTCCCAGTGTTGTCTGGCACAGAGCGCTCTTGTTGAACTGAATGGAAGAATGGTCTACAAAGGATCACTAGGGGTCCTTAAGGGAGGCATTCCCTCAGGCACTCCTCCCTCTTAAGTTCATTTATAAAAAACATGAATTTAAAAATTACTACCTTTTATTCCAGGATCCTTCGTAGTTTATAAACTGTCACATCAATGATGAGAATTTTTTAAAAAATTAATCCAATTTAATTAAATTCCCATAAATGGAAATTACAACCCCAATAAGTACAGTAAAGAAGGTAGTATCAGCTTTAACTGGGGACCGACCGAGCCTGGGAGACAGTGAAGGCTTGAGGAGGTCACCTGAGACCTGGAAGATGAGCCAGAGAGAGAGGAAGACAGCATCTGGCAGGGAGCAGCAGAGAAGCTGGCGGGGAAGCGGGACCGCCGACAGTGAACGTGGGCTGCTGAGGCCACAGGGCCGAGGAGGGGTGACTATCAGTTTGACTTTTACCCTAAGAGCACCAGGAGGGTGTCCAAAGGTGCCCCGCATGGAAGTAACATCATCAGTTTTGTGATTTTACAAGATCATTTTTCATGGAGAA